TCTTACATGAATGCTCAAAACCAGGAGGTTATCTTGTTTCAACTTCTAAAGTCGTCTTACATGAATGCTCCAAATTAGGTGATTATCCTCTTTCAGCTTCTAAGCATTTACAGATTTTTAACGAAGCAATCTTAGTCTTGAAGTTGCACAAACCAGACTTTTCTACTGAGGTAGCACATTCCCTTAGCTGCTCTGAAAAAAACTCTCTCAGAGAAGAGAGACTGCTGATCCCAGTCAAAACTTTTGAACTGCAGAAATTTCTAGGTTTTCTAAACTCAAATCAATCCTTGATTCTAATGAACTGAGAACAAACTAAAAGCCTTCAATATTTGCTCCATTTGTCACAAACCACTGCAGCATAAGCAATTTTGCATATATCACTTTACCTGGTCACAATCGCTTGCACTCTGATACATACCAGATTAGGCCACTGTTCTGGAAAGGCTCGCTGACCTAGTGTTTTTTTCACTAAAATTCCTTCATAATGTAATCAATACCCACATGCCATGTTTTTGAAATTGAAACGCTGAAAACGTTCATTGATATCATGCCGCTTTCATCACAACAGGTAGATTTGCTACATAAATTAAATAACAGATTGGCTTGAGATTTGAAGGCACCTCTGGTTTTGTTTCCTGGCCACATTTAAGGCTGGTCAAAATGTTTGCCCCCTTGTCGAGCCAAGCTGACCTTACGATTTCCTATCATGACTGTCACAAAGGCTGCTTACTCCTTTGTAACATTGCCGACCCCTCCCCATGCTTTGGTCCTTTGATGTTCAAGTTCTTTACCATGTCTGAGTCACCTGCAGGCTCTGCAATTTCAACGCTATCCTGGTTAGCTTTCCATCCTCTGTGGTGTGTAAACTCCAGCTCATCCGTAACCAAGGTGCCCATTTGTCTTCCGTTCTTCACGCAGTTCTGGCTCTGTGTTGTGGAATTCTCTGCTTAAACCCCTCTGATTTTCAGCCTCGATCTCCTCCTCAAAATCTATTTGGCCAAGCCTTGATCAACTCTCCTCCTGAGTTTCAGTAACTGATTTTGTTTGCTATTTCTCTGAGGCTCCTTTTAGACAGTGTTGTTAACTGGAAAATTCTAATTAGCCACAGACTGGTTACAGTCACACCATTTTAGTCACATACAGTGATTTTAAGGTAGAAGCTGCCTTGAGCACGCAATAGGTAAGTGTATTTTAACATACATATTTTCTTAACAAGCATTTACTAATAGATAGTGGCAAATGTTGCGGTCTCCCATTCACCAATGTTTGGAATTCAGGCCTAAATTTACCAGGCAAAACACATCTTAATGTAACTTCAAAGTTTATGACCAGCAGTTAGTGTTTCACATTTTTCAGAATGACTGCAATGCATGTTGACTTGCACAACAGAATGCAGTTGAAGCTGTAAGTCCTTTGTCATGACGTGCTGTTGCCAGTCGCTTGTTTTTGCCTGAACATTATTCATTTTGGCTAAACTGACTGTGGTGACATCTCCTCTTCCAAAAATATTGCTGGTGTTTCTATTGTGATGAAGTCTGTCTTGTCTTTTTAAACCATGCCATTTTAGTAAATAATAAACACTAAACAGAAAGGTAAAGTGCCAAAAACAATATAGGAAGCTTTTGAATCTTTTGTTTCCTATCTTGGCGTTATGCCACCAAATACGTGTGTAAAAAGGAGTGTTGAGGTTACATGCCCGTGATCATTTATTTTCAAGAGCGTATAATTTAAATTACTTCCGAGTGATCAATTCATCATGCAAGGCAAAGTTTTCTGCATCTGTACAGATGCAGCTAATCAAATGTGGTATGAGTTTGTCACAAGCAGAATAGATGCCATCTAATAGCTTAAAATCTTCGAGCCTTTGTGATAGCTGGGTGAATATTGTGTGACAGATGCAATGTCTGATTGTTGCATATCATGCTTCCACTGCGCAGTTCTTGAACTTGACTGCGCATACATAATGCGCAACCATTGCTCACCCTCAAATCCCACCACTACTACTGCACTGAACTGCATTGTTTTATTTTCACCTCCAATTACCTGTGTCCAACCTGCCCCTTCTGCCCCACTTTGTTGCCTAGGTCAAAGCTCCTTTGGCTCTCTTGTTAATGAAAAATCTGTCTAACCCAACCTTAAAAATACTCAGTGAGCCTATCCCTGCTGTTGTTTAATTTAAGTCCTTCTCCAAAGTCATGTTTGTTCATATTATAAACTTGTTTTGTCTGCCTCATTTCTATCCCAGAACTACTTTTAGCTAACTCCACCTTTTGATGTACAGCAAGCATAGCCATAGGAGGTTTCCAAAGTTTAAAAAGAATGATCAAAAGGAGTTTTACCAAGAAAGCCCTGCTTATTTCTATTTGCTTACCGATTTGAATTTTGAAAATTCAAAGAAGTGCATTTTTCATTTAAGTTGCATCCATTTCAGTTTCAGAATGGGATTGATACCATATGCTGCAATGTTTGTATCAGTGATTAGAATTTGGAGCAAATTAAACATGTGGCCAGATCCTAGTAATTATACTGCTCATTTATCATTTTCTTTAACCATTTTTCCATATCATAAAGCAGTTCTGAAATTGGTCAGTTTATAAGATTAGGAAATTTAAGAGAAAAACTTTAGATGATCAAAGTTAGCATGCATTTTAATTTTAACTCTGTCCCTATTTGTGCATAGGTATAGTATGTTCATTGATTTAAATGAGCATGTGAGGATTGTAATGTGGACATGTTCAGCTTTCTGTGAATGTACTCTGCTAATCAGAACACTTATTGGTTTAGAATTAGACAGAGAAGTAATTACGAAAGGGGTAATAGCATCAGAAAATGTTAGGAAATCATAAACATTTGAAATTCAAATGTAATTAAAGAAAGTATTCAGAAAGCACTGCGAATTTTGCTTAACAAAATCACCTGGACACTGACCAATAATGTGACTTTCACGTGGAATATTGTTTGAAAACTGCGACTGATTAGACTGCAGTACAGGAAAATCTTTAAGACCCCTCCCCTGCCCCTGTCCAAATTGGGCTGTTTTATACTTAAAGAAATGTGTAACAAAATCATAAACATGTTAATTAAAAATGGATTTATTAAATTGTTACGCCAAACATAGAGGAAATTGTGCCACTGTTTCCATGTATTGTGTGAAACACTGTTACTGTTTTTATCAGCAATATCATTATAAATGATTTGCTGACATTAAAGTGCTCTTTATATCGACCTGATCTTCTGTTCTGCAGAAAGTTGATGGATGTTAAAAGCTGATTCTGCCTCCCTCCCTTTCTCACTTTGGGGATTGTGATGATGCATTAATGATGAATAATCAATATGCCACAATAATTCACCAAACTATGGCACTTATTCAAAACACTTCCATGGTATGACCAGAACTGTCTGCTAAGGTTGGAGTTTGGGCTCCATTGTTGTAGATTGCCTTTTGGATGTAACTTCTTCTGAATCAAAAATGACCTCATCAAGATACCAAAGTATCTCAGCACAGAAAGATAATACCTTTTCTAATTTATTAGTGACTTTAGTGATAACCTGACACAAATTATGAATTGTATCAGAGATGGTAGGAACTGCAGATACTGGAGAATCTGAGATAACAAGGTGTAGAGCTGGATGAACACAGCAGGCCAAGCAGCATCATAGGAGCAGGAA